ATGCAAATCCAGGAAGCACAGAGAGTCCCAAATAAGATGGATGCAAAAGAAGTCCACTCCAAGACACATCATAATTAAAATGCCAAAGGTTAAAGATAAAGAGAGAATCTTAAAAGCAACAAGAGAAAAGCAGAGAGCTACCTACAGAGGAGCTCCCATAAGACTGTCAAGTTGATTTCTCAAAAGAAACTTTGTGGGCTAGAAGGGATTGGCAAGAAATATTCAGTCATGAAAAGAAGGGACCTACAGGCAAGATTGCTCTACCTAGCAAAGCTATCATTTAGGATTGAAGAGCAGATAAAGTGCTTCCCAGAAAAGAAAAAACTAAAGGAATAGATCAGCACCAAACCACTATCGTATGAAATGTTAAAGGGACTTACTTAAGAAAAAGAAGATAAAAAATATGAACAATAATATGGCAATAAATACATATCTATCAACAAATGAATGTAAAAAACAAAAAAAAAACTAAGCACACAAGAAGAACAGAGACAGAGTCATGGATACAGAGAGTGTTTTGATGGTTGCCAGATGGGAGGGGGATGTGGAGGAATGGCTGAAGAGATGAGGGAATTGAGAAGTACAGATAGGTAGTTACAGAATGGCATGGGGATGTAAAGTACAGTTCAGGAAATGGGGTGGCAAAAGAACTTATATGCATGATCCATGGACATGAACAATGGTGGGGGAATTGTCTGAGGGAGTGGGGGATGCTTGGTAGAGGGAGGTAAAAGGTGAAAAATCAGGACAACTGTAATAGCATAATCAATAAAATACAATTTAAAAAAAAGAAAGATAGGGTGAAGTGGTTTTTTTCCAATAAATGGTACTGAAACAATTCAACTTCCATGTGCATCCATGATACCAGATCAACTGAATTTCCATACACAAAAATAAATCATGATCCCTAAAACTCATACCATTCATAAAATTTATTTCCATATAGATTGTAAAAGGAAACCAAAAAGCCTCTAGATGATAACATAAGAGAATATCTTCTTGACTTTGTAGTAAATAGTTTTTTTAACAAGAAAATCTCTATCAATAGAAGAATAAGATAATTAACTAGAATTTATTCAAATTACTTCTGAATATCAAAAATTCTTAATATAATAAAATGGAGAAGATATTTTAAATCTATTTAACAAAGAAGTCATATCTAGAACATATAAGAAGTCATCTGAGAAACACATATTAAAGCTACAATGAAACACCACTACATACACTTGAATTTAAAATACCGACCCTCATTAACACCAACTTAGTAAGAATGAGAGCACCTGGAATGGTTATACTTTATTGATGAGGGTGTCAATTGGAAAATACATTTTGGAAAACTGGTAATGTCTATTAAAGCTGTTATACCTTAGGATTGGCCATGTCATTCCTAGGTATAAACCCAACAGGAATGTCCACAATCATGCACCCAAAGTAATGCAGAAATGTGTACATAACCCAATGTTCATTAAAGCCAATAACTGGAAACAACTCATGTGTCCATCAACAGCACAATGAATAAATAAATTATGATCTATTAATCAATGAAATGAATGAATATAGTGAGATTCACAAATAGAATACTGAGCAAAAGAAGCCACACTCAAGAGATAACATACTATATGATCTCACATAAAGTTCAAAAAGAGGGAAAAAAACCCAGAAGAACAATCACCTTTGAAGGGAGGGGAAAGGAGGTACAAGGAGTACTTCTAGGGTCCTAGCAGTGTTCTGTTTCTTGATCTCGATGAAGGTTACATTAGTGTTTCACTATGTGACAATGTATTGAGTTGCTCACAATAATGTATGCATTTTTCTGTATATATGTTATTTTTGATGAACCATTTAAAAACCTAATTATAACCAATCAGGTGAGTTAGAAGGAATGTCTACAGATTGTAGAAGAGCAGAAACTGTACAAAAGTGATATACTATATGCTACAGGTAAAAAAATGTAATCCAGACATTAGAAACAATTCTTAGCTAATTTTTAGATTGTTATGTGAATATTCTAAAACCATTGAAACAAAATACTGGATTTAATACTCTGCCATTGTATAGAGGTTAAGTATGTGGGTAAATTATAAGATCCTGTGTGACCATAAATAACCACTGTGTGGACCACCTCTGCTGGATCTCCAGTTCCACACTGCCTTTCACTGTCCTCCCCTGACGCTTTCCAGGTCCCAACCGCCCCAGTCAAGTTCTTTAGGTAACCAAATCCCTGCATTATTTATCACCTCAGGTTTCTAAATAAAGCCACTAAATGTAGTCAAACAGAACAAAACAGAATCCTGTAGTAAGCTACATAAATTATACTATGTCCCCCTTAGAAGAAATTTTCTAAATTAGTCTCAAAATTCTTCTTGAAAATAAGTCAGTATATCCCTAGAATATATATATATAATCTCCTCTACTTTCAATACCTTTTTCACTTTTCCAAATACTTTAAACTTATAATTTTCTCTTCATTAGGCCTTCACATTATGTCACTCAACAAAGCCCTTTAAAAAAATAAAAGCACCAAAAACTATTTCAAAGACATTTCTAGTGTCACACAGCATTGCGTGGATCAGAATTGATTCTCCTGATACCTCCACTCCACCACCGAGCTAAAGTCCCTCCCCGGATTTCGAGAACCACGCTCCCACTATCACTGTCCCTGTTTCCCAGAGGGTGAGCGCTGGCCAGTCCCCAGACTCCACAACCATTTGCACTTTTGCTGCTTTCCTCCCGCACCCAAGTGGCCGTGGCTCGATTTGGCAGTGTGTCAAAAAAGAATCAGAAAATAAAGCACTTGGTGATCCTTAAACAAGTGTCTTTGTTGTATATGCAGCAAAGGACATACATTATAATAGAATATAGTGAGAGATACACTGCATAATCGGAATCTAAACAGGCTTCTCTTTGAGAAATTCTCTTTAAAATAATTTACTTCTGGTGAGCTAAAAGTGTTGACTGACTTTTTTAAGAAATTATTGCAATGACAATTATTGCAATGATTGTTCCCTTCTAAGAATGGCCAGTGTCTTACATATTTATTACTAGGTGGTTTATGAAAACTATGCTATCAAATAGATCACATTTTCTGAAAGGAACAATATCAGAATAGGATTCATATTCTAAACTAAAGATTCAGCAATGAAACTATAACTAGGAGAGTAATTTTTCATGACATAAATATAAAACCATTATAAAATTTTATAATATAAAGTGACAAAATGATGCATCAATGTTTTTACTTATAACATTTATCAGGTATCTGTTATATGTCAGACATCGCTAATAAAAAAAATAAAAATAAAAAAGCGGTACTTGCCACCCTCAAGGAATTAAGAGTCTAGATTACTAAACAATCTGTTTGGTGCATGGGGCAGTAAATCCTATGAAAAAGAGATGCTCAGAATCTCTGGGGACACAGAAGAAGGGCATCTAAATCAGCATCAAGTAAACAATTCCCAGAAAAGATGACTCAGGCTGAGATTTGCTGGAGTGAGAACTGGCTGAATGAGTAGAGCTCTCCACATGAAGGGAATGGCTCTAGTAACAGAGGCATAAAACAACTTGAATCATTCCAGACAGTGAGAGTACCTGTTTGGAGAAAAGCTTGAGGGGGGACAGAATCAGGAAATGAGAAAGGAGAGAATGGTAAAAGCCAAATGATTAAATGCTGTGGGAGCTAGTTTTAAAAGTTTCAACTGTATCTAGACAGATAGTCCTTCTTAATCCTTCAAAAGCTACTAAAATGGATTGTAAGCAAGGAAGTAAAATGAGTACATTTTCACTTTTTTTTTAAAAAAAAAAGATATATTTGCTTTGGTATGGGACAAGACTAATGCAGTAATCCTGAATTGGGGAGGCAACATTAGAAATGGAGAAGAGGGAACAGACCTGAGAGGCAAAACAAGATAGAATTCGTTGAACTTAAAATACTAATTGGAAGAGAGGATGGAATGAGAACAAAGAGTCTAGCCTGACTTGGTTACTAAATGGATGATGGTATCAGAGCACTGAAGACAGCAGAAAGATAGCTCTGAGGCAGCAGGGAGGAATGATGAATTCATTTCAAGTTACCTTGGACATTATGTTTTCTACATATTGTCCAAAGAATCCCTAGAAAATATAAATCACATATAAAGTGTAAACAAATAACTCGCCTGTATTAGACCTAAAATTTGTTGTGGTTATTCATTTTCATTATTTAATTAGTAAAGATTTTCTTATTTTCTTAATGTTATGTTGGGGGGGGGGGTAGGAGGAAAGAAATATTTGAACACCCAAAGTCTCTTTTACAAAATGGAACAGAAAAATTTAAGTTTTGTATCCTCTCAGAATAGTTACTTGCAGCAAGCTGATGTAGAAAATTATTCTACTGACCAAAGAATATTGAAAGGTTTCTTTTAAATAATCTGCAAATGAAACTTACATTCATTAGAACACTATTATATTCTCATAAGTAAATATATCAGAAGGTAGTATCTTTATGATATCCTTTTTATGTAATAACACAACAGCAACATAAGTTATGCATAGTGTGTGCAAATCATTTTTTTAAGCTTAGGATATCTAAACCGTCAGAAAATGAAAAAAATTGTACTTCCAAGGTAGTCAGAAATTTCTATCTCCAACTATTTACATGGAACTTTATAATGTATTTATGTATGGGAAAATAAGTCTTCAGCTCCCTTGTCCATTCTTTGTTATATTCTACAACAACAACAACAAAGGTATGTTTCTCTTTGTTTGTTATGGATAAACTGTGACCTCATGAGGGAAGAAGTTGCCTGGAGGAGCTGAGCAACTAAAGGAAAGAACCAAGACTGGGTCTCTAAGCCTTGGAGCTGTTTAATGAGCCACTCTGGCTCCCACAGCCAGCTCCTCAGAAATCTGCAAGAAATTAAAAAACTCAGTCAGAAAAAAAAACAAAACATTCACAAATCTCACCCAGTAACTAACACCCTAAGGTATGCAGTTTGCTCCTTACGGGGGACTAGAGTACTCACTTTCTTTGCGAACTTCCTTTAGTGTAGTGTTAAGCTCTTCCTTTAAAACCATGGCTTCCTGGGCAATCTTCTCTCCTTTGTCTAATAAATTCCACGTTGCTTCCTCCACAGAAGCTAGAAGAACTCTGGCTCTTTTCGAACATCCCTTTTTCCTATTAGAAGGATTCTGGGGACAATTTACAAGTGTAGTAACCTAAAATTGGAAAAATATAAGTCACTCATTAGTCAAATTGTGAGGAGAATACAGTTCCGGGATATTATAGCCCAGAACAAAAGGAAATCTATCACAGAAATAGGAAGTGTATCATAGAAACACAGAGCAGTACATCCCCAAAAATGAAGGCACCCCAAGAGCAGTATCGTCAGCCACCACAGAGTTCCCAATTAATGGGAGGGAGGGAGGAAGGGAAGGAGGATGGGCCTTACAGATTGAATTGCATCAATTTTTACTACTGGAACAATGTGTGTGCACAGGTGTGTTGTTTTAATTGCAGAAACTTCATATGGAAAAAGAACACAGAACCCTGATAAAGCAGTCAAAACTGAAAAAATTAAAAGTTATATAAAAATATCAAATAATTATTTAAAAAATTTATATCACTTTGTAGTCAGCAATCTATATTAAAAGGGAGACAAAAATAATAATAATTAAGTCAGTAAGTATTAGCTTATTTAGGCTGAAAATAGAGGTTACTAGTATTAGAGTGGTGGGAAATACTTTAAAACATAAAGCAGTGGCTACCTCAGTAGAACAAAACCCAGTCCTTACCATAACTTACATTTCTGTCCCCATGTAACCTCTTACCTATCTCTAGGCACTCCCATAACTCAGCTGGCCTCTCAAACAAGCAGGTCTCACTCAAAGTCCCCTATCAAGAGGCCTTCCTCACCATCTCATCCCTATCTCCTACCTCACCGCTCTGTCCCCTGACCCCACTTTCCAGTTCTTCAAAAACAGTTAGAGAGCCTGATGTTTTTTTTACTTGTTGACATGGTTATGGCATGCTTCCAATACTAAAATGAAAACTCTGAAGATAGGAAATGACTTGTTCTCCAGCACCCAAAACAATGCACAAAGTAGGAGATCAATAAATATTGTATAAATGGACTAATGAATGCAGTAGTTGAAAAGAGGAACATTTTAATTTCTATACAGTATTTTGAATTGCCTGAATGTTAATAATGAACACTTAATACTTTTGTAAATGTTGAAAATAAGAATAAACTCATAATAAGAGCATTATTGGAGACAGAAATTAAGCATCTCGTATATTTGTAACAAAACCTCATACCAAATTACATTGCAAAAAAATATCCATTTCTTAATTAAACCTGGGAGTCCAATAACAAAATTCAGTTAGTGTTTCCATGTGCAAAGCTTGAAGATCACCATCATAGAAGAAAGAAAACTTGAATCCAGTATTTTTAAAAAAGACCTGAAATCCCAACTGAAAGCTAGACTCTTGCATGACATCAAATAGCCAAGTCTTATAACAATCATGCGCCATTTTATTGACAACATATAAACATACATACATACATACATATATAACCCTTCCTGCTCTGTAGCCTCTGAGGATTTTGCTTGTTTACGGAGCATTTAACATTTGCATATTTGGAAGTTTAGACCCAGTTTTTTAATTAGAAACTAAGGAAGAAGTTAAAAGCTATAAGGAAATACGTGGAGGAAAATGATTTTTGTCTGCGCTTTTATTCCCCTCCCCCTGCCCATCATACCCTGTTATATTCTAATTTGCTTTATTCCCCTGTTCATAACCAGAGTGGACTGTCTCGCAGCAAGCTTTTGTTTCCTCTCTTGGAAAATGAGGACAATCATATTATCCTATAAGACTATGTGAAGGTTAAACAATGTAAAATGTTTTGTAAAATGCATAACATGGCACAAATATTGGTTGGCACTTAGTATGTATTTTCAAGTTCATTCTCTACATTGATACGGAAAATCTGTTACGGGATCCTTGTCAAAGGTGTCCTCCCTCCGTCTAACCTTATTTTGCTCTTGGGGTTCCCTGTGCTGAATGTGATAAGGGCAGTTAACAAAGCACATTCTATACTCTTTAAAAGCGGCCAAATATGGCCACGTGTCTCTATCATGCATTACATAAAGATGATAATATGCCTGACTTATTACATGAGTTTTCACATACCCCAAAAAGCAAATATCTCACTGTTGTCAGTCTAATTTATATACCAAGAGTTAAAAGGCACTGTCCAGACTCAAACAAATTATAGCACCTAGTTTAAAACTTTTGTATAAAATGAAGAATAAGTATCATTGTCTAAAATATTTCTTCAAAATTCATTTTACGTGCCACAATTCATGAGGCTTCCCACTGAACATTCCTCCATTATTGTTCAGACCCTCCATGCCCCAAATATTTTCCATAGACTAGCCTGAGCTTTGAAATTAAAATGAGCATTCCAGAAATGCTTTATTCCTTGTAATAAATGCTGGAGAAGAAAGAAATGTGAAAAGAACATTGTATAACAGCACTGTGCTTCCATCAAAAAAAATGCGATTGCAACTTCTAAGTTATTCACTTTTATAAATCATTTATGCCTGTCTTCTTTTAAAATGCTCTAATGTGGTTATTATTGATTAAACTAAAGTCAAGTGATGTTTTCAATGATTCATTTCAAAAAGTAAATATGGCTTTGTAATTCTGGTAGGGGGTGGCAAACAAAGCTAAACCTTTTTTTTTTAACCCCAACTCACCTACAGACAGGGTCTAATGACTCCTATCAGTGACTGTCACTCACTATACGATTCTCACCAAGTGTGGAAGGGTGCACATGTTAACTGAAAGTCTCCCATCTCTGGAAGGAATACCAGCAATCAGTAAAGTTAGCTTTCATGTTATTCAAATTATTTATTTGTCAATATAAAATCAGTTACAATTTTGTAAGAACACAAAAAAAATTTAGTTGGAATTTACAGCAAAGATGATTCTATTCAGGGTCCAAGCCCATGTCTTGCTAACTTTTCTTTCAGTCACTGGTTCACAACCTTCCTCCATCCCTTTTTCTCAGACCTTAGGAGTCCCTCTCACAAGGAGAATCTTCAACACCAGGCTTGCAGCTCTTAAAGAACTTGGGTTTACCCACTCTTCCTCGGTCCTTAAATCTGTGCTAGGCTATAGACACACCTTCATCATAAATACAGGAGAGAGTTTCTCACTGAAATGGTCCTAAATTAGAGGTTTCAAGTACTATGAAAAGAAGAAATTCCCTACTTTCTTAATTCTCTATGTTGAAAATTCCATAAAACCAGGTGTATTTTTAATAATATATAATAGCTATACATTAAAATTCAGAGTACAAAAAAAAAGGGTTTTCTAAGCTCTCCTCATTCAGGACTGCTTCTCTAGACGCTCCAAAGGCACAGACGATTACATTGATATGCTTAGGGAACTACACCATCAACTGCCATGCACAGCAACACTAGCGCACAAGAGCACTGCAGAATGTGGTGGTATGAGGTGGTGACTGACTTTCATATGTTGCATCAGACTGAAGCCAGCTTTACGGAAAGTCTTCTCTAATGCCAACTTGGGTAGCACACCTTTATAATATAATCATGTTCTTTCCCAATCCAACTAATTCTTTCATTATTTCTACTATTATAGTAGTATAAAAAGTCCATATTAACAGCCATCTCTCCCCTTGCTTATTAGCTAAAACACTTTGGACTTTAACCTTCCTCCAGTAGCTCAGAGAAAGCCTTCAGGGCTACTTTAGCTTTCTTGAGTCAATTTTAATAGGTGAAATAAAAGATAAGCTATTTAAGCAATGTTATTTAGCTAAAACTTTAGAGTTCTGAAAGAAATTCAAAGGAGAGGAAAATAATATTGTCTATAGATAAGTAAAAACAGTGACCCCTTTATAGTTAAAGTTATTATCTAATTTTGCACGGTTGGGGGGAGGTCCCTCCAAGTCATTGATAATTTCAACTGTTCTTATTTCCTACCAAAAACAACCTATTGTATTAACAAAAGTACTGGGGAAGAATGAAGTGTGGGAAACCCAGCAAATGCATACCCCTCAGTTAACTTCAACACTCCCCCAGAACCAACTACAATCTTCTTTCAGTTCATCTCATGCCAATAACCATTTATGGAACACATGTTCAAAAAGAATACTCTTCACATTTAGGAAATAAAGATGAGTAAGCTCCAGTAGGGGAAGAAAGCTACAACTAGCTGTAATATAAAAGGCAAAATGATAACTGCCTATGCTTATAAGTAAAAAGAAAGTCCTAAAGAGACTACAAACATTCACGAGAATTAAGGAGGGCTTCCTAGAACAGCCATTAAGGACAGAGGGTTTTCTGGCAGGAAATTCTGAGAAGAAGGTGAGCCAAGTGAACTGAACCATGTGCAAATGGACAGAAGTGGAAATTATTTTTGTCTGACAGTAGCAAATAGTCAAGTTCGGCAAACTGTGGAGTAAAAACAGGAATTCAAGCAAGAAATGGGGTTAGGAAGGAGGCTATAGCTTAAATGTGAAGTGTTAAAGGCCAAAGAAACGGTTAATACTTAATTCAATAGGCAACAGACATTTCACACAGGATGCCCAAAGTGGAAACTTTCTTTTACCAACCTGCTTCTCCTATGTGTTTCTTACCTCAGGGACAGACATATCTAACCTGAGGCAGAAACCCAGAGGTCCTCAGAGCTACTCCCTCTCTCATCTTCCTGGGCAGGTTCTTTGTACCGTTCTTTGGGCTGTCAACTCCTCTCCAGCCCACAGCCTTTGCTCCTCATGGCTGCTTTCTGGATTATTGCCCTATATCCCCTCCAAGCCATGCTTCATGCTCCATGCTCCATGACACAGACACAGGCAGCCTCATGGAGCCTCGGTCTCAGCCCCATCCTGCACTGTATTGTTACAGAAAGAATATGCATCAGTTCTGACTCTCCTCATGCCTCCCCACCCATCCCATACTCCCATTAGAGTGATCTCTCTACAGTGCGGTGACACCGCTTAAAACCCTCCAGTGGCTCTCTGCTGCCTACATGAGAAAATCTAGAGCATGACTTATGCGGCAATTTATGATGTCACTTCTGACTAAATTTTCACTCTCATCTTCCATTCAGAGTTTGCCCACAAACTACTTGTCAGGCCCAGAACGGGAAATGTTTGGCAACTTTGACCTAAAACAACTCCCTCCCC